CCGCCAGTGTAGGCACCACCACCCACACCCCCCCGTGCCAAAAAAAAGAGGCCAAAACCAACTCAACAACCAAAAAAACCTTGCCATGAAAACCCAGTACAATGCCCAGCCCATTCCTCTTTGAAGAGCTGTCTTGCAGAGGTCTGCTGCTTAAGAAAGTACTAAAACCTTGGAGTAACCTGGGGGGGGGGGGGACGACCAAAAACAAAACCACAAACAAAAAACCCAAAAGACCACCACAAACCCCTCAGTGGAAGACAAACTACTGTAATCTACTGCTGGTGTCAAAAGAAGAAGGAGGCTTATGTTCTTGTCCCAATCTGAAAGGGATGAATGCCGTCACTGGCCACCTGAAACACAGAATGTGCTCCTTTATGTGATCAGATTGGCAAATACTGTTTTGACAATTTGCCATGGGTTCAAGGTATTTTTAACAGAATTAGGTTTTAGCTGCTCTTTAAGTCAAGCTATTGTATACTAACAATAAATACTTTTCAACAATATGCCAGTAGCTGGCAGACGCAGCCATCCATAATACAGGTCTATTCTCTTGACCTGAGAATCATCTGGGGTATATACCAGTTAATTTGTAATTCTCAATGCTAACAGTAAATAATCATCATTCTACTGCCAAATGTCAGAAAATTCACCTGGACATTGTGAACCCTCAGCCCACAGCAGCACACTTAAACTCGAGTGTATGTTTTGGGCATTTACTATGCCAGACACAAACCTGTTTGTTTTTTTTAATGTCAGTCTGGGCATCATCTGGATAAGCCTTTTTTTTTTTAGTGTTTCTGCATCTACCACTAAGTCATCAGCAAGATTAGTTCATAAAGCATGGGGTAGTGTTCCTGCACGATTTGTATCGACAGCTAATGGAACGTACATGTGCCGGATCAGGGAAGGGAAAGTCGTTCCTGTCGGGAGTCTGTTTGATGATGGGAAATCTAAGTTAGTTGGTAACTCATGATGTTTCGTGTCCCAGGCGTACAAAACACAAAAGCGCCGAGAACACATTTCTGCTTGACTTGCAAGCAGGAAATGAGCACTTGGGGGTAATGCAGTGACTTCAGTGTTTGGGAAGAATGCAACAAACCAGCCGAAAAAATGATTGCCTACTCTTAATATGACGATCTCTTCTTATGGCAGCTGGCTTTCTGCTGATGACAGCATGCTTCTCCAGATAATCTGAACGTGAGCCCTGGGCTGGAAGGGAATGCACTGAAGTCAAGATTTCTTACAGTAGTTTGGGTTGGAGGAGTCCTTGCTCTTGCAGCTTGGAATTGCTTGATTTCCTAAACATTCTGAGCCCAGCATGTTGTTTAGAAAATGCTGTTGTTTACACAGAGGAGGGGGAGGAGACTTGTATATTCCCTTCATTTTGAGCTGTCTAGTAAAAAGAAAACTTTTTTTCTTCCAGTCTGAGTAGGGTACACATTCTTCTAACTTTTGTAGGGTTTTAAATTGCAGGTGTTTTCCACTGGAAAGCCTTTCTCCCAGCAGGACCTTCTTTTGGATCTTCTTTGCACCCTTGTGTCCCTCTCCCACTTTTGTTTGCTTGTTTATACAAGGTCTGCCTGTGTAAGGGGCATTGACTGGAAAGTCTGATCCTCTAACCAGTCAAGGCCAAATGAGAGAAACAGATCTGGCGTTCCATCTTGCCAGAGTCCCCCAAGCATTGTGTTAGTGTCCTGCTTGACAGATGTAGGAACATCCCTCACCAATTAACTTCCTTATGTACATTCCATCCCCTGCCTTGCTTTTTTATGAATAAGGAGGAAGGTAGATAAAATATTTCAAGAATTTTGGCCTTATGTAGAGAAAACTCATTAAAACTACCCAAAGCTCTTGATAGTATTATTGAAAGAGTGGGTTCATTGTTTTCTGTGTAAAGACTGTTAAAGCAGGCTTAAGGGTGTGTTAAGGCTTCTGAAATTATTTTTCCTCTGCTTAGATTTATTTTGTTAGGACCAGATAGTTCCTGCAGTACCCTCACAGAAATTCATGAACATCTCTCTTTGATTAGTTCTGACTGGTTTTTTTTTTTGTTTGTTTGTTTGTTTTGTGAAAAGCCCCCAAAATTGGAATCTGACTTAAACTTCTATTTGTGGATCTAGATTGGCATGTCCTATCAGTACCCTAAGGACAAATGCGATTTGATGCTTTGTTTGGGATAGCGAATAGCTATTTCAGTGAACAGTGCGTAATTAAAGGTCCTGTTGAGGCCTGACATGTAATGTTGCTTCTTCGAGTGCTGGTGGACGTGATAGAGTGAAGGAGCAGAGACCTTAACCCTACTGTATTCCTCTGCTCTTCCCCTGCCATAGGGACAGCCTAGGACTGGCCTTTTCCTTGGAACAATAGCCAGCCTGTCCAATTGAACATGGGAAGATGAGTTTGCTTGCAGTTTCAGACAGGATGGTGATGGCAGGCTGCTGGAAGGGGAGGACAACACACGCACACACCCTGCCCAAAATACAGATGACTTCTTTTGATGTTTAGGGCTGAGTTTTCTACGTAGGACCCAATTTACTGAATATTCAGTAGCTAAAGAACTAAATCTGTCCCAAAGGCATTTAACACAAAATGATGTCAGGTTACAGAGAAACCAAACTCAGTGGGGAAGGATGAGATGGTTGTCTTGTGTTTAAAAAAAACTATGTGCTTAATTAAACCTTTCACTGTTTGCATAGGGAAATAGGGGATCACTGGCATCTAGCAATTCAAGAAGCAATCTTGGAGAAATGCAGTGATAACGATGGAATTGTTCATATAGCTGTTGACAAAAATTCACGTGAGGTGAGCATCTTTCCAGTAACATCTTAATGCTTTGTTTATCCGTGTCTGTTGGGATTAAAAACAAGCAAACCCAAAACAAACCCTCTCTTTCTTAATGCAGGGTTGTGTGTACGTCAAGTGTCTCTCTCCAGAGTATGCTGGAAAAGCTTTCAAGGCATTACATGGCTCTTGGTTTGATGGTAAGGAATGGGGGTTTATAACACACATGGGTAGAAATGACAGAGGAGTTGCAGTTGGAATTCTTTTAAATGGTGAAGGGGTTTATAGCTGAAGTATTGAGCTGTAACAAAACCTGGTTCTTTTTAGTAGTCAGCCGCCTGGTAGACTAATTCCAGTGTAACAATGTGTTTGTGTGTATTGCGTCCTGAAGCAAAATGTAATAACACTGAACCAGAAGGTTTCTCTTTTCCTGTTTCTTTGCCTCATAGGAAAGCTGGTAACGGTAAAATACCTGCGGCTAGATCGATATCACCATCGTTTTCCCCAGGCTCTTACTTGTAACACTCCACTGAAGCCATCAAACAAACACATGAACTCTATGTCACATCTGCGTCTTCGGACGGGCACAACTAATTCTCAGGGAAGTTCCTGAGAAGACTTTCTACAACTGCTAGGACTGTTACTTGCAACAGGAATCTTCCTGTTTGGCTGCCGTCTTCCTTTTTTAGTGCTTTTTGTATGTAATACTTTAATGAATTAAATAAAAGTTTGAACGTTCCAGAAATCTTGTTTCCAAAGGGACTTAGCAATGAGGCAGTAATACTGTGCTGACACAAAAAGAAAAGGAAAAAAACATTGCTTCAGGAAGTTTTCTGGGGCTATAGTAAACCAATGCATTTAAGTTTTGCATGAGGAATACTGAATTCATTATACATTTGCAGATGTGGTGGCTGTATTTTTGCACCAAGAAGTGTTTTTTGATAATACAAAAGCATGGAGAAAAGAAGACTTCCTGTATTTCCATAGTTTTCTGTGAAATAATCTTGTGGGTATTTTGTAACAACCAACCTACAGTTCCTGATGGTGAATAAGTTTAAAAAAAAAAATTTCTTTTTCAGTCAATATTAGTTTTTTTTTGTTACTGTATAAGAATCTTTTTCTGCAGCTAGGGTATGGGGAAAGTTAATCTGGCATTAGTGGTTGCATATAAGTGTGAGGGAAAACAAACGGAATGTGGCTGTACGGTTTTGTATATAAATGTAAATGCTGGTGGTGGCAAAACTGGTTGTGTTCTGTGAGGATGTCTGCATCAAAGCAGTGAATAAGCTTCCTATTTTATTCAAAACCTAATGTTTTATATGGTTTTGGCTGTACCATGACAAGAGGCCAAATACCTTAAAGTGTTAGATACAGGTTAAATATCTTTTATAGGTTTTATATTAAAATACCTGACTGATTTTGTGTGAAAGATCTGATACCAATTGTAATGATTCAAATTTGTGAGCAATAAAGAAGCAATTGGCAGATACTGGAGAAATACTTTGTGAAAAGCTGTATTTATTACTACAATTGCCAGGGCTGTGACAAAATACCATTGGGATTAAATGACTTTCCCAATCCATTAGAACTTGTTCTAGTGAACCTGTTAAATTTTGGGTTTTTTAAAAGGTACATACTTCCTTGCAACAATTTTGGCTGACGTGAATGAGAAGTACAGCTGATGGTAGATCTTGTGACCCCCATCTTGCAAATTAACTAACATTTACCTAGAGGTACAAAACTGTTGCTGAGAAGCTTATTTGCAAATCTGAGATTATTGGCTTTACTAATCCCCACTCCTACAACAATTTTATCTAATTATCCAGCTGAATATCCTGTAGGGGGTGAGGCTGGGAGCACGCCAGTCCCACACATTTTACTGAAACTCACTTTACTTTGTAGATACGATGGACTTGCAGCATGAACTTGCACAAATAATGCACGTTTTTTTTCTTATGGTTAAGTAAACATGATGCACACTATTCTGCAACAGAAAATCCTATTGTGCCTTACCTTTGTGCTTTTGTGGGCACCATGTTTATTATTGGAAAGCTTGTTAACCGAAAAATTTTAAATCCTCGGTTTTATGTCTCAGATGCTAATGAATGAGTATATATAATATATAATCAGCTGTGCAGAATTCTACTTACCAAGGACAAGTACATATTTTTGATGGGTAAGTAGATTGTGCCAGGTCTGGTAGATTTTGATGAGTTTTACTATATACATATATGTATATGTATAATATACATGTATATGTATTATATATATGTATATAAACTAATTTTGCTGTATTTGATGTGCATCATAGTGATTTGTTAACCTAACTTTAGTGACCCCATCTTGTGACCTGTTGCAAGAGTGAATGTAAAAATAGTCGTGGCATTTTAAAAGGTCGCCTTGATGCAAATGCATCTATCTTGCTTCTAAAATATATTTCTTGTAAACACTGTACATTTTATTATTGTAATATGTACTATTATGCAGCTTATTTTACCTTTAAACTGTTAAGTTGACCAATATCCCTTCCTGCAAGACAGATGGGAATGTGTATAATACCTGAACATTTGAGAAAAATCAGATGTTTGTTGTAATTTGTCACCCTGTCCTGTAAAAACAAACAAAAAAACCAAAACAAAACTCGAATTAAAGGTTTATTAGGGGTTTTTATATGCGTCTCACCTTCTAGATGTTTGGGTGCCTCTCTGACTTGAATACCTTTTTCAGCTGGGGAGGTGAGGGGAAGGTTAATGGTGTAGCCACCCAGCTGTTCATGAGGAGCTGGAGCTGAGGAGCTGCTGCTGTGAGCTGAAGAACTTCCCCCACGTGTCTGCCAGCCTTTGCCCGGAGCTTGTACGCAGGGAGTGCGGGAGGCATTACCTTGATTTTATAGGTTTTTATATTAAAATACCTGAATATGGTTTTGTGGGAAAGACACATCAAGGTACCCTGTATTGTCTGACCTGTTAAGCGGCAGAGGGTGGAGAGTCTTGTGTGCTCTGTGTTTGTTGCGTTTCGAGACCAAGTCTTCGAAGGGATCTTCACAGACTAACAGGAAGATACGTGCTGCTTGTCCCCCTGACACTGCGCTTGCTCAGTGCTGTTCTAGAAGTGGTTTAGAGGTGACTTGCATTGAGGGGCTGTGGGGTAGGAGGGCCAGAGAAGGGGGTGATTTTAGTGCCTCTGCCCAGGTCTGTTAGCCCTTCCCTGCAGAAGGGGAGCAGGAGGCGGGAGGACTTTGCTGTAATTCTGTTTTCCCCCTTTTTTTGGAAACTAGGTAAGGTGGGCATATTAAGACTTGCCTTCATTTCGCTGCCTGTGACCGGT